CCCATAGGAACGTATTAAAACTGATTTAATACGTTCCTATGGGCTTAAAACTCACCGTTCTGCGAGGTTCCTCCATTGCGGTGGCCATTTTGGATGCCTCGTTAGCGAGGCAAAACAGCGGTCACCATTTTGTTTTAGTGGCGGCCATTTTGGAACCGCCGATCAGCTGTTCACTATGCTTTGATCGCGTCCGTGTGATCATCGCATAGCGAAAAAAGCCCATGGGGCCATCGCTGAGCGAACGCTCCAGCGATGGCCCAGGACCCCTCTTTGTGCGGTTTCATCGCATAGCGAAGCGTTCGCTATGCGAGGCACCACTGTATAAGGAAGAGGGCATAAGACTATAAGCTTCGTTAAGATGTATAGGACTTGGTCACAAGCAATTTAGGCCCCGCTGGGAATAACTTCCAAGTGCAGTGCTTGCATTGATGAGGTGGTGTATAAATCAAAATCAAATCAATCAATCAATATAACCAAACATTTGTCTTTTCTAGAGCTGATGCTAGGGAAGGCTTTCGGGAAGACTAATGCTTGATTTATTCCTAGAAGCCTAAGATCTAAAATTAACTGTTCCACTGAGCCAGAGGAGACAACAATATAAAAGAATAATATGAACAAAATGCTGATCAGGAAACAGCCTAAGTAGCAATATTTAGACTACAGTAAAGAGTAAAATGAATCATAGCATTTCAGAATAATTGAGATTATTCTGGAAGCAGCCTAGAAGGCCATCAAATCCAACCGTCTGTTCAGTGCATGAATCCAAGTCAAAGCAGATCTGGACTTGATGACCTTGTAGGCCCCTTCCAACTTCACTCTTCTATGATTCTATGACAGATGGTTGTCCAATGATCTCTTGAATGTTTCCAGTGTGGGAGCACCCACCACCTCCCGAGATAATTAACTCCATTGTCGTACTGCTCTAATATCTAAGAGTTTTTTCAGCCTAAATCTGGCTTCCTGTAGTTTGAACCCATAATTATGTTCCTGCACTTTGGGGTGATCAAGAACAGATCCTGCCTCTCCTCTGTACTCCTCAAGTATTTGAAAAGTGCTATCAAAAAGTCACGGTGTGGGAGACTTAGATAGAGTAGCCCCTCCCACCCACCTTTTTTCGAATAGAACTCCGAGTCAACCGTGAATCTTTGATCTTCCTAACCATAACACTGTGGGGCACTGCGTGTCCCAATTCTCAGTCCAGCACACTAACTACTAGATCACACTTGTCAGTTAACGTGTCCCAATTCTCAGTCCAGCATACTAACTACTAGATCACACTTGTCAGTTAATCTGTGGAACTTACTGACACAACATGTAACAACAGCTGCCTTCTTACATACAAACTGAGATTATCAGTAGCTGTCAGCCAAGAAGGTACTATATGATTGTTGGGTATCAGTTACTAGAAAACATAAGCAGTCAAGAGTAAAGATGGGCATTTACTGACACAACATGTAAAGCTGCCTTCTTTCATACAAACTGAGATTATCAGTAACTGTCAGCCAAGAAGGTACTATGATTGTTGGGTATCAGTTACTAGAGAACATAAGCAGTCAAGAGTAAAGATGGGCACAAACCTAAAAAATCGTGGTTCATGGTTACCCAAAAGGGACCTTTTCAAAGTTCTTCACAGACTGCGCTCCTTTCTCCAAGTTTGAAATAAGAGGAGGGGGGGAACTGTAAACTGTTGAGCAAAACTGTCCCAAATTCAAATCAACAACCAAGAGCTACCTTGTCAAAAGCCTTTCCAATAGCATTTTCCAGGGACAAGTCCTCTGCTTCCAAGGCCGGATTACAAAGTTTCAGTTCCCGAAGGCAGGCATTCAGGATATCCAAGATCGAACTCTGGATCGCACACATGGCAGGGCTCATGGTGACATGCATTTCAACCACTTCAGGCTTGTGTCGCTCCAAAAAGGAGTGCACTACCGCATGAAACCTACGGAAGGGAAAGGTGCAATTGCGATTGCAAAAACATCGACGTGAAGCGGATTCATCGTCAAGCGGGGTAATCGTTAAGCGGGGCACCACTGTAGCAAGAAACAACCACTGATCAATGGTTCTGAATCAAAGGCAAATGTGACTAGTTCTGGGTGCTGAGAGAGAGGTTGACACTTGCAGGCCTCGTGAAGATCTGGGACCCCAGGTAGATGGGGGCTCCAGGATATCCCTGTTATGAAATCTTTCACCTCTTCATCTGGAAACAGGGACTCAGGCAAAACAAGGAAAAGTTACTTTTCTAGATGGTAACCCCCAAAATCCCCAATCAAAATTGCCACTGCCCAATGTTTCCAAGCTTCAAGTACATTTTCTAGACTTCTGGTTCTCAGTTCCTGGCAATAACATGGCATGTCATAGTTAATCAGAAAGAGAAAGAAACGTTTCCAAATACTGCCTTGTGGTTGCATCAGAACAGGAAGGGAGAAAGTGTTAACCCCGAGGCAGGTTTGTGATTAAGACTGCCACGTCCAAACGTGATCTCTGATTCTGATTAACTCATTTGTCCAAACATCAAGGACAGTGTCTTACCTTGGCCAGAGGTAAAGCTTCCTCACAAACAGATTTCTCATCACTCTTTCCACATGACAAAAGCCAGTGCTGAAGGCAACCGCATTGTCTGTGAAGGCTTTGATGAACCCTTGCTTGTTCTTCTGGCGATAGAGTCGTAAGATGAAAGCTTCCTGGCAAGATTCAATTATTCGGTGGGCTTTGTACACCAAAATGCCTGGCGGAACAACAAGAGGAATAAATGTGGTTCACAGCAGAAACAACAGAACAGATGTGATATATTGTCAAATATGCTGGTGTTTTGAAAACAGATTCTCACTTTCTTTCCAAGACTGATGAACCAAGACCCCTTTAATTCCTTCATTTTCTTTACTTCAAAGTGAAATTGGTGGAAAATATTCAATGCTAATTGAATTGAAAAGGGAAATCGCAGAACTTCTCAAGTTTCACTTAGAGACAAAGTAACCATCCTGGCATATCTGCACTCCTCTAAGTCCTATGGAATTTAATTAGGCTAATTTTCCAGTAAAAATGGGACAAGACTGCACACAAACAAGAGCCCTTCTGAATCAGATCAAAGGTCCATAAACCCAGCAGCGCATTTCTCGCGCTGACCAAACAGGCTCCCTGGGAAATATAAAGACAACAGGTTGTCCTGTTGTAGTCAGATTACAAAGACAAGCCTCTTGATCACAGCGACTCATGAATCACTCTTTGGAAACTGAATTATTTAAAATAAAAGTGTAAATGACATAAAAGAGTCATAGAAGGAAACCTCACTGCTACGGTTTATTACAGTAAAGAAGCACAAGCTTTGAACAAAGATAATCTGAACCTGACAACCAAAGCAGGATTCTTGTATCCGCAAGATCAGTATCTGCTGATACACTTATCCACGGTCTGAAATTATCTAAAAGTATTTTAAAAAATTACTAGAAATATATTTATTTATTTATTTATTGGACTTTAAAAGTATTTTTAAAAATTACTAGAAATATATATTTCTAAAGAGATCGTTGCCAGAACTGGCACTAGAAGGAGCCTGAAGATCATTGCCAGAACTGGCACTAGAAGGAGCCTGAAACCATGCCAAGTACGTATAGTATTCACTTTTTAATTCCTTCTTCCCCCCAATTATCTATTTCAGTAACTTAATTAAAGGAGTCAGGGAATCCTTTCACTAATGCTATGACCAGAAATGCCTAAAGATCCACCACAAATAATCCAGTTCCTAGCAGATCCAGGACTGTTTTTTGTCCACTTGCAATGCCCCTCATTTAGTGTTCAGCAGAGGGAATAGATGAAGCTAAAACATCACACCCGGAAACTGAAAATACTTCCTCTTCGCTTAATAACTAATCTATAGCTCATTGAGCACAATGTTTCATTTAGCAGCTACACCACACTGACCTCTGGGGGTATAATCCTGTAAAGGAACAATGCATCTCTTTAAGAACAAGTAACGAACATTAAATCTGTAAAAATGTGAGGGAAATTGTTATAAAAAAGGCAATTGTGTTTTTCAGCCTAGAGGTCACTGATATGACAGGTATCTCTCTGTGTCTGAGAGGGAACAAGGGGGGATTAGACCCACAGTCTAGTCAGTGTCTCACCGGTGATAAGATCTGAAGGGATCCTGTCTGTCAAAAAATCCACCACCAGGATCCGGCTGGTTGCAAAAACGACGCCTCCTTGCGTGTAAACCTCGTAACGGCTACTGCTTGGGATCTCGTTCGTCACCCGCCTTGGAAGATGAGGCGCCTGATCGATCTTCAGCTGTTCAATAAAATATTCCTGGAGTGAAAGGGGAAAAAAAATCAGAATAAACAGGGTGCAAGAATCTGAAAGGAAGATTCACTCACCGCCGTTGAAAAGGACTGGAGGGGAAAGGCAGGGCCTGCTCGTTACTTAGCTAAAGGAACGTGGAAAAGTTACTTTTTTTGGAGTGACAGTTCTGGGACTCTTTTCAGTTTCCTGATGGTCAAGGAATCTCTTGGGCGTCGTCGTCCTCCCCCCCTTCCCTTCCCGGCTCTTCCACTGACCC